CTCTAAGGTGCCACAAGTACTCCTGTTCTTTTTGCGGATACAGACTAACACGGCTGCTACTCTGAAACCTAGCATGTGATTGCAGACTAAGAAGGGCAGCATGGAGTAAGATCCCTTGTTAAGACTTGCCTGAAGAATGTCTACTTGTGGATAAGTTACTTAATGAAATTCATTGTGAGCGCTCATCTGATAATCTCCTAACACAAATTTATCTTTGTTGATCATATATTATGTTCCCTCTACCTCCCAAGATTCATTATCTGCATTCTGAGTGCAAGTGCTCCAAAGATGGTTCTCTTTGTTAGATTAGGGCAGACTTCCTTAATATTTTCAGCCTTCTTGATTATACACCCCTCCCCATCAAGTGGCAGCCACTTGGACTCCAACCCTCCAACGAAAATTTGCCTGACAAGATTGCCTCACGTGTGACACCTGCTACAGTACCTCTCTCAAGCTATACTTGAACAAAAAAACTTCAGAAACAGACTTCAAAGAGAAACTACAGAACTAAAATTCATTTGCAAATTTAACACCGTTAATTTGGGCTTCAATAGGGACTGGGAGTGGCTGGCTCACTACAAAAGCAGCTTTGCCTCTCCTGGAATTGGCACCTCCTCATCAATTACTGGGAGTGGACTACATCCACCCTGATCGAATTGGCCCTACCAACACTGGTTCTCCACTTGTGAGGTAACTCCCTTCTCTTCATGGGTCAGTATAATAATGCCTACATCTGTAATTTTCACTCCAATAATCTGAAGAAGTGGGTTTTTTACCCACGAAAGCATATGCCCAAATAAATCTGTTAGTCTTTAAGGTGCCACCGGACTCCTTGTTGTTCTCTCAACTGTGTTTGTCCAAGTCACTTCACTCAAAGTCTAACAATGACTGTCCAACACCAGGCAGTATGAAAAACAAAAAATCTGCCTTGCTGTGAGAGAAGACATTACCTTTCCAGAACCACCATCATCAGGGCTCTTTCCTTCCTTCTTTATTTTTTAATGGAGGCGAAACCCCCCGTCATCTCACCTACTCCTCTCTTAATAAGGAATGACTGCCGTGACTACCCCCATCTAGGAGCGCCATTCGCCACCAGCACCTCTGCTCTCCTCATGTGCTTAGAGAACAACTGATTAGCTCTTTGCATAATTAACCTGATTAGCACTGTGCATAATCAAACTGATTAGCACTTTGCATAATTAAAAAGAAATAATAATAATAATAACAATAATAAGCACTAGGTAATATCAAAAGCCGTTAGTCCCACAGTCTGTTTGTTAGTGCCAGGATTAGTTTAGTGCAGCATATTTTATTCCATATTTATATATATATAAAACCTCAAACTCCTGATATTCTCAATTATTTTCAGAACACTGAGAAAAATACTGGTTATTCCATAACTGTCCATTATAGGGTTTCCTGCATCTTTTTTCTGAAGTAGCTGATCATATCCATTGTTGGAGGATACTTGAATAGATGACCCACTGGTCTGATTCAGTATAGTATCTCTATTACATTCCTATGTTACCAAGTCTGTATATCTAGCTTTCTATCTTAGGTAGTTATATGTTCTCCATTATCATAGTATCTGAGTACCTCACAACTTTACTGTTTTTGCCCTCACAACATTGCTGCGAGGTAGGAAAGTGCTATTATCCCATTTCTGTAGATGGGGAACTGTGGCACAGAGTGGCTAAATGACTTACCCAAGGTCACACAGGAAGTCTGTGGTGGAGCCAGGTCTTCCAAGTCCCAAGCTAGTACCCCAACCACTGGACAATCCTTCTTCTCCCATTGGACCATTTTCATTTCCTGTATGGACTGGTTACCTAAGCAATTTACCTCCCACAAACATGTTTTGGGGAGAAAGGAAAGCATGGCCCTGAGTGCAGCCATGTGAAATAGCTTCGGTTTCTGTTCCAATTCAAATCCTCTGATTTTCATTTTGGGTTTGCACAAACCCTCAAAACTCTATAGAATCTGTTAAATTTTGACTGGTTTGATTCAAAACTGTGTGAAACCATGTACTTTTCCATGATTTCTGCCTAAATCTTAAACAGGCCCAAATCCCCTGGGATATAGAATGCTAGATGCCCTAGAACATTTACAAAAGTATCCCCACAGTTCTAGTACTGAGACTTTCCCTCATGAAATAAATTAAGGGAAAACTATGGGAGAAGGGAGCAATAAAAGGGAACCTTACAGTAATTAAATAAAAATATATTTCCCAGCCATGGAGGCCTTTCTATTACCATAAGAAAAGGAACCCAAATGAACAGTGAGTGATCTCCAGAGCCAGTCACCCATTTCTAAAGTTGTTTAGTTTCAGAAGAAAAGTGTTGTTGCAGAGATTATTCAAGTCCAAATGTTCCTGGGGAAGGTAGTTCCAGTAATTCTGGGAAGGAGGCCAATCCCTTTGGCTTTATATGTAAATATTTGAAAAACATTATTTTTATATACATATATTTTATACACATATATGTCTTTACATTTCCAGCCTTGCAAAACTGCTATGAAAAAATGTACCACTTCAAGCACAAATATCTACTAGCCAGAACCACGATAAATGACAAAAAAAAAATAATAATAATGCTCTCCCACCTGTTAAGTTAGGTGCCTTAGGCTACGTCCTCACTGCGGGGGGGAGGGGTCGATTTAATATACACAAATTCAGCTACGCGAATAACGTAGCTGAATTTGACGTATTGGAGCCGACTTACCCCGCTGTGAGGACGGCGGCAAATCGACCTCCGCGGCTCCCCCGTCGACGGTGCTTACTCCTACCTCTGCTGGTGGAGTACAAGCGTCAATTCGGGGATCGAATGTCGCATCCCGACGAGATGCGATAATTAGATCCCCAAGAGATTGATTTCTACCCACCAATTCAGGCGGGTAGTGTAGACGTAGCCTTAGACACAAAGGCTCCAACTCTAAAAGCTGTTCTGCTCCTTGGGTTTCAATGATATGCAGGTCAGAGGAAGCTACAGAAACCTCTATAAATGATGAGAAATAGCCTTTCTATTCCTAATCTAGGCATGAACGTAAGGTCCATTACTTCAGAACTTTCTAGGTCTAAACAAACTTTGTGTGTTCTATCCACAAGATGGTAATCTCCCACTTTCAATGGTATAAAGCGTCCATTTCCTAGGATTTTAGGACACTGAGATATCAGACTTAAAAACTGTGACTTTTTTATCTACCGAAAAATCACTGGCCCAATATTGAATCTTGTGCATCCTACAAGCAGTGGTAATTTAGTGGGAAATTCTACATTTGAGGGAGAGAAGAGAAACATTTCTGTGGGAGGCTGATTTTAATTAATTAATTAAATGGTGGACGCTTGAAGCTGCTTGGGAGTTGGGACACTGGAATAAATCCTTAGAAGATAGACAGATTAGTGGGGAGAGTGCAGGAGAGACAGTCAAAAGTGGATGATAAATAAATTAATCCATGCCTCTGGAACTTATCACATGGCTATCACCTGTACATATGTGGTACACAGAAACATACATGAATAATTATATTTATTCCCCCCCCTCCCCGACATACATACACACTTAAATCATTTCATAAATATATACATAGAGAGCTTGATGAAATTCTTGGACAAATAGTTTATTAGAAGAAAAATGCAGTTTCAGTCTAACTAAAACTATATATGAATTTGAGATTAATATTTTTGGCCATTCACAAAATGGCCAGAAGAGAAGGAAGTGGCATCACAGCCCACCTGCCTTTATAAGCTTTAGCTCAATGTTTTGGTCACTCATCTGGGATGTGGGAGATGCAGGTTCAAATCACAGCAGTGGAATTGAGCTGAAACAGACTTTCTAAATTCACCAAAAATTCCAACAAATTTCAGATTCGGTTTGACCTGAACCAATTATTTTTTTCGGAACTGCCACTGATCTGAAACATCAATTATTCACCCAGCTCTATATATATACCCACATATATATACACACACACAAATATGTATATTTTAATCTGTACCCACATATATATATCCTACGTGGAGGTGATGTAAATATTTCACAAATATATTATATATAATGCTATTTCTGTTAAATATTTATATCACTGCCACATGTAGGGATATTTGTATGTTTTAACATATACACACATAAAATGTGTAAATTTGTACATATGTGTAATCTCGGTCTGTCTCGCTCTCTCTCTCTCTCTCTCTCACACACACACACACTCACAAACACACTCACAAATACACACACACACTCAAAAAATGGAAAGACCAAGAGTAGGCCAGACCTTTAATAAAATATTTTAATTTTTTTAGAAATCTTCACCCAAAGTTTGAGGGGTTTCTTTTCTTTTCTTGCTATCTTACATTTTCTACTGCAAAATACACCTGCTTTCTTTTCTTTTCTTCCCCCCCAAACTAAATATTTCTTCCATCTAATGACTCTCTTTATTAGACAGCATCTAATTTGCATACATTTACATACAATTTAACTGCTAGCTTGTGAGAACAAAGAAATGGCTCTGTATTATACTGAAGGACAATACTCAGAAAAGGAAGGTATAAAAACCAGCTAGCTCAGTGGCTGTGTATTCCCTTTGTTTCAGAAATACCAAGATTTTTAAACACACCACTTAAAGGGTGAAAAAGACTATTTCATCAAACAATGAAAAAAGATACAGTGCAGCTCCCTTTTAACACATTTTCTCTCTGGCCTGGTTAATGGGATATAAGGGTCCAATATTTCTTTGCTTTCCACTGTTTCCTTTATAGAATCTGATGGATTTATTTCTGTCACATATTTTAGTTCATATTTTATTCTTATAACAATCTACATTGAAGCTCAGCTCCAATGCTAATTCAGTACCACCTTTTCCTTAGAGTCAGACTGGGATATGACCAAATGATCTTTGATGGGCATCAAGTACTCTGCCCTCAATGCCCAGCACTAATAGATTTTATAAAAAGGCTGCCAGGAGTTTACCCTACGGCAACAAGTATAGAGATAATGGAAACTTACCATGTAGCTGACTGGGAATCAACAGAAAGGGAAGCAGGGCTGAGCTCCACTTGTGAGAACAGGGAGGGACTGTGGTCAGAGTAAATGCAGGAAGTAAAGGAGAAGTCAAGCCCTCTAGTTCCCTAGAAGAAGAGGAGGAAAGAATTTTAAGACCTCATATAAGGGAAGTCTTTAGAGAAAGAATATGGAGACTCCTGTCCATATCCCACCCAAACACAATATACACCATCCAAGGCATTCCCTCCAAATCTTCACAATGGAAAGTCCAGTTACACAGATTGGTTCAATTCCAATCCATATGTAAATGTCACTAAAGACCCTTATTAAAGGAGGGGGGAAAGTACATGGCTAGAGGTGTACTGATCACCCCAATGTCCCCTCGGGTGTGTTCAGCCCTTTGAGAAGCCCAGGTATGCAACCCGTTTTGCAGTTTGTTACTGCATTATGTCATAGCTGTTGGCTTTATTTCCTAACTCACTCCGGCTCTCCTGCCTTTGACCTCTTCTCTTTGCTCAATGGTGAAATTCTAGAATTTTACATTTTAAAAAGAGCATGGCATGTGGTCACGGATTAGGAAAAAAAAATCTCTAGTCATTTTGGGGCAAGTCAATGATCACAAGGGCCTGATGCTACAGAAATGTGCTACCAGGCGTAGCACTTTCTAGTGTGAGTAGATCCATTAAAGTCAATGGGATGGGACTACTCATGGTAAGGAACATTATGGCCAGTAGTAATTGTTTCCAAATCAGGCCCAAGATTTGAAATCCTCATTGATCATTTGGGCTGCTCAGTTTCTCCTAGCCATATGTGACAGAGTACAGAAGCTTTACGTGATTAACATGACGAAAGGGGATCACTCCCTGGTCAGACCTTGCACAGGTGTATGGTGCAGGTACTAACAACAAGGCAGGTCTGAGGACTGAAGGCCCAAATCAGGATCTCAGAGAGCACACAGGAATTCTTTTTGTTCTGATTATCCCTTGCTGTGCCTCACTGGAGCTCTAGGCACATTACAAAATATTTACATATATAAACCTTTAATTAGTGCTCATTGCAATTTTTCAAAAAATTGAAAAATCTGATTTTTAAAAGAATTCAAATGGGGGGAATTTGCCGCCCCCCCCCCCACATAGCTATTTTTAATATATTTTCCAATCAGCTCTGCTTTAAATATAGATATATCTCAACCAAACCTAATCCGCCTTATCCCCCCCAAAAACCACCCTTAAAAAGCAGTCTTTGCATCCTTTCCCCTCTCCTGCTTGAGAAAACATGTGAGCCTTGCAGTGTGTCCTGAAGTTTACCAAAAGCTGAGAATTTTGCCAGACGCTGGGAATGGGCAACAAGGAATGGATCACTTGATGATTATTTGTTCTGTTCATTCCCTCTGAGGCACTTGGCACTAGCCACTGTCGGAAGACAGGATACTAGGCTAGACGGACCTTTGGTTTTACCCAGTATGGCCGTTGTTATGTTCTTAAAACCTGGTTGTGGCAGAGCAAGGGAAGAAGGAAGTTCCAAAGCTAAGGATCCCTTATAGATCATACCATATTTGCAGCCCCCTATTGTTAAAACCTTTGGGTTGTTAGTTTGAGTGTCTTGGAGGGTTGTGGCTGCCATGGTATCACCCAGGAAGAAAGGATCCTATGAGGTAGTTGGGATCCAAGTTATTTAGGGTTTTATAGGTCAAAGTCAACTCCTTAAACTTCAACTGAAAATCAGATGACAGGCCGTACAGCTCAAGAAGAAGAAATGCAATATGCTTTTGATGAGACATTCCAGTTAAAAGGCGCACTACCACAATTGCCACATAACACGCTGAATTAGCCTCAAGTAACGTGCAATACAATAATCCTATCTTGAGATGATAAAACACAAAGTCCCAAAATGAAAGGATGCAACCCTCTTGCCAAGAGCAAATGATAAAAGTCATGCTTAGCAACCACTTCTACCGGAACATCCAGAATCACCCGAATACCATCAAAACCCTCGGGAAATGCACTTAGAAACAAACAGCAGGAAAATGTCAGATATTATACAGTTATAATACTGAGTACTTGCTTTGGCTAGTTCCCCAACCGTATACGCATTACCTCTTGGAGCGAGTGTCAGCTAGCTAGCCCTCTTACACGCCACCATCTCTGTTGAACACTGAGCAAGTCACCCCACAATGCTGGTAAAAGTGAAAGGGATGGGGAAAACAACACTGGATATCAACTGCATCCAAAAAACAATGCAACCCAAACCTTCTCACTAATCCTTTTATTTGCCCCATATACATGTAAAAAAATAGGGATGACAAAATAAAACCCCACAAACCTTCCATGAGAATGCCCTCAGGGAAAATAAGCAATCATCCAACACTACTCCCTGGGATCTCTCAGAGAAAAAAAAACAGTTTCTCATGAGCTACCCCACCAACACAGCGGCCACAGATGAATCACCATCAGTGGTACAGAAGGCAGCTGACAGAGCTAAAAGAATCAATACGGACACCTCATCTTCATCTATTTTCAGCAGAAGATCAACAACCAACATGACCAAAGTCATTGCTATACTACTTCACAACTAAATCAGTTCTAACAGAGTCAAAAAGACCAGAGGACTCTAGATACTTTACGGTACCACTGAAGTTGTTTCACCATAATTTCCTAAATAATCTCCCTTCAAGGGACTGGAGTAGATGACCTATTAAGGTCCCTTCCAGTCCTACATTTCTATAATTTCTATGACGCAAAGGTAGTTTGGATACCTTGTTTGGGAAGTGCAACATTAACTCTGCATTTCTTGGGTTACTAGCACTCGAAGGAGTCTTTTTTGTTTTATGCTCTGACGTTTTTGACAGGTAATATGCCTTAAAACCAATGATATGGGCCTGAAACTTTAACTTCACTTTAACAATGATTTTTGCATGGTAGATAAAGGTAAAAATCATGTTTGGTTAATTAGAATTATTTTTGATATCTTTTTCCTGTATACACAAAGGTCTGATTCTCCTCCTTTACTGTTATAAATCCAGAGTAATACCACTGAAATCAACTGCGCTACACAAGTGTGAAACTGGTGTAAGCAAGAGGAGAATCAAGTGCAAAGTGCTTTTGCTTCTTATATAATGTGCACATAAATTAACACTTGCCTTTATAAACCTCTAGGTTTGGTGTTTTGTTTTTGTTTTTTCATTTTTGTTTTTTTGTACACAGCTGTTTTATTACATTTTAGATTAGATTTTACAGGTGGAATTATCAAAAGCAGCAGTGGCCTTGCTCTGATTCTACTTAAGTCAATGTTAAAATTCCACTTGACTTAAGTAGAAAGCGAGTTAAGTCAACTTTCAAAATTAATAGGCACTAGTATAAAACAAATATAAAGAAGTACTTCTTCGCACCACACACAGTCAATCTGTGGAACTCTTTGCTAGGGGATGTTGTGAAGGCCAAAAGCATAACAGAGTTCAAAAAAGCATTAGATAAATTCATGGAGGATAGGTTCATCAACAACTATTAGCCAAGATGGTCGAGCACCACCCCATGCTCTGGATGTTCCTAAACCTCTGACTTCCAGAAGCTGGGACTGGATGACAGGATGGATCACTCAATAAATTGCCCTATTCTGTTCATTCCCTCTGAAGCATCTGGCACCAACCACTGTCAGAAGACAGGATACTGGGCTAGATGGATCATTGGTCTGACCCAGTCTGGCCGTTCTTATATTCTTAGGTGTTTTTAAAACTCCCTACTCACGCGTCCAGTAAATTTCCATCATTTTGGGTCTGCTTTTTTGTAACTACAGTGGTAGCACTTATAGCTTTGTCCATTTTAAGAAGCATTGACCGTTCCCTTTTAAGTATGGGGAATATTTCTCAAACAGGTAGAACCTTTCAGCATGGAAGAAAATTTTAAAGTGTGGCCACTGTGATGAGTTATGTTGGTGAGGCAGAACCCTATTCTACCCACCAAGGTTCACCTCAACCAGTTAACCTGTATTAAGGTACAATTTGCCCTGTTTACACTGAGATTTTAAAAAATTTTAGTTAAAACATCCAGACACCATTTTTGCTATTCCAGACAAGATCTATCTGAAGAATAATAGTGAGTGGAGAAGGCTAGAAGTTTAACCAGACCTTCCTCAAAACATGCTTCCGTAACATCTCAGAGGAATCAAGGTAACTACCCTTAACTCTGAGTGTGAGATAGAAAGAAAACTGTAATTTGGTGGCAGCACAAGAAGTTTAAAATTTGCCCACTGAAAACAAAAGACCAAATTTCCATATTTAGTTGCATTTTAGGCCTGTATGAGCTGGATATTGGCACTAGCTTTCATACCAAGTGATATTTTGTTCAAATTACAGGATAATCCTTTGAATTGGGACACCATAATTGGGATGGCCTATTGTCTTGATTAATATGTTGTCTCAATTAAGAGAAGCAGCCATTTGAAAAAAAATGTCCAAAAAGATTTGAAATGTAGTAAAATGCTGTACCGAATAAAAATAAAAGTATAAAAATGGTTTATGCTGTATTTAATCTTTACTTCTTCTCTTAACCTTTATTTGGCGACTGCTATATTAAAAGATTAGAATTTAGAATTTCACACCTGTTAAACACCTGGTTAAACACCACTTAACCCACTAGTACCAGCCAAATGTGTCCCCATTAAGCAGAAATATTGGCAACGCTGTCCCGATTAAGCAGCATCCATTACCATTCACTGTCATTAGGCTAAATCGTTTCCCTGGGACACAACCTAATTTAACAGATTTCTCGTTTAAGAGCATCCTGATTAAGTGGAGAATACTGAATCAGTAAATTTTCATGCAACGTGTGAAGGCTTCTGGCCACTGAAGTCCTATCCCATCTGTCTTGTTTGCAGGCCAAGCTTAGAATCCTGGGTGTGTTGTCCTGTACCTAAGGAATTGTCTAGGAGAGTTGCACATTCTAACAGGGCTGGGGGAGTTCTAGGAAGCAACTGGGCCAACTAACAGAGTGCAGAACTGATGGAGTTGGACTGAGATTCTTTCTTGGAAATGCTCTTGTGAGATTAAAAACTGTTTCCCTTCTTATGGTTTTGTATCAGTGTAGGAAATCAGCCCTGTTTGATTGGCATAGAGGGTTTAATTTATTGG